CTTCTTCTTGGTCTTTTTTTTTTTTTTTTTTAACACTAATTTTGTGTTTTGTTCCATATTTTCTCCTTGTCTATCTGGGACCTTCTTATATAAAACGTGATTTTTTTCAGGGCAGTTTGTAGTATTGGTGGGACACCTCTAGCACCCCTTTACTTAGAATCATGGAGACTGATGTTCATATGGTCCATTAATCCTTTCTATTAATTGATTCCAAGTCTATTCAGTTCTTACCCGTCTTCTTTCTTCACATATGGAGAGAGCAATAGCTGCACAAGGTTTCAGACACAACCCACCCAAGTAAGATGTAGAACAGTCTGTGGGCTCTTATACCAGTTGACCACGGTGTCCCCAAGACAGTATAGTACTGAGTGCCCAAGCCCAGCAACTTATTACCTTAAGGGCTTTGATTATATCTAGGAAGTTTTCATCAACTATCTTTAGCATTCTTGGCAGACCTGCCTCTTGTATATTGCCCTCCCTGTTACCTGTCACCAGAGCCAACATGTGTCAACTTATGCAGTGAACTCGTCTCTCCCTACACTCCTGATAACCATCATATAATATTTCTTTTAGTATGAAAAATCTTAAATTTTTACAGTACTCGTCTTTTACAACATTTGTCCTCTTATGATTGACTAGTTTCACTCAGCATAATGTCCCCCACGTTCATCCATGTTGTCAGATGTTTCCCAGCTTGTTAGTCTTCTGTGGTGCGCAGTGCGTATGGTCCATAGTTTGCTTATCCATTCTTCTAGTGATGGTCACTTACACTGTCTCAGTCTTTTTGCTAATGTGAATAGTGCTGTAAAAAAAGAGAGAAAAAACCAAAAAAAATAACAGATGGTTTGGCTATTTCAAGAACAAGGAAGCTGTTCCCCTGGGAGCCATCCAGGCAAGAAATCACGTCCCTTCAGCACAAACCTCTTTCCAAGACTGAAACTCAAAGGGAACACATGAACAGGCATGTAAATTTCCTGGTGACCACACTGGTCTACTTGTGAATGTAAGTGGGGAAAAGGCAGTAATGAAGACATAAACAGAGTTCAGCTGTGTTCCATAGAGTCCTGTTGACCTTGAGAAGAGAGAAGAGGAAGGACTGCTTGGTCCAAAGTTTGGGGAGACTTGGGAACTCCTGAGCCCATGAACACTGCCCTAGCCACTGGGGCTAGAGCTGAAAGTCAGGTGTCCAGCTAATATCAAGTGGAGGGAAAGTGCAAAAGATTGTCCAAACAAGCCCATTGTACCCATTTGACCTAACTTGGATAGCTTACTGTCTTCTGGGGGAATCCCCATATCTGTAATGAGTGTGGCCGAGGTTTTAACAGCAAGTCAAACCTTGTCACACACCAGAGGATACATAGAGGGGAGAAGCCTTTAGTTTGTAGTAAGTGTGGTGGAGGGTTTGTTCAGAAGTCAGCTTTCCTCTGCTACCAAAGGACACACTCAGGGGAAAAGCCCTATGTTTGTAGTGAGTGTGGACGACACTTTGCTCAGAAGTCAACCTTGTTGTGTCACCAAAGGACACATTCAGGGAAAAGCCGTATGTTTGCAGTTGAGTGTTGCCACAGATTTGCTAAGATGTACAACCTGCTCTGCCTCCAAAGGGTACATTCAGGGGACAAGCCATATGTTTGCCGTGACTAAGGGTTTGCTCAGATGTGAAACTTGTTTTCCCACCAAAGGACACATAAAGAAAAGCCTATATGTTTTCAGTGAGTGTGGATGAGAATTTGCTCAGAGGTCAATCTTGTGTCACCGAAGGACACACTCAGGGGGAAAGCCGTGTGTTTGCAGTGTATGTGGCCGAGGGTTTGCTTGTAAGTCAGCTTTCCTCTGCCACCAAAGGGCATACTCGGGAAAAACCACATGTTTGTAGTGAGTGTGGCTGAGGGTTTGCAAAAAAGATAAACTTGCTCAACCCCCAAAGGACACACTCGGGAAAAGCCATATATTTCAGTGAGTGTGGCCAGGGTTTTACTCAGATAGCAACTTTGTGCAGCCATCAAAGGACACTCTTGGGAAAGGCCATATGTGTGCAGTGAGTGTGACCGGGGTTTTGCTTGGAAGTCAACCTTGTTCTTCCTCCAAAGGACACACTAAAGATAAAAGTCACATGTTTACAGTGAGTATGAACCAGGGTTTGCTCAGAAACCACACTTGCCTCCATGTACCACCAATGGATACACTCAGTAAAAAAGCCTTTCTATTTATCATGAATTGAGTGAAGATTTACAGAGCAGATATCAATTTTACATTCTACAAATCACATGTATGGATGGATTAACACCCCACAAGCCTGCTCCCCGGTCGTCGGCACACAGCCCCTCTCCCTCTCTGGGTCTAGCGTTCCCAGCTACTCCATCTCCACGTCATCATCTCTGTCTCCATCTCTGGTGTCACTGTTTTCTCTGGGTAGGGTCCTGCACTCTGCTCTTCTCCCTTTATGGTCCCAGGGGCCTCCACTCCTGGCCTGCAAAATCAACCACTTCCTTTTGTTACAAAATGTCTACCTTTACATTTCCAACCCTCACAGTCAGTCAGTCCTGATATTAATTATTCACTATTATACCACGTGAGTGCTATCCCCATCTCCTTGCATCAGTCCCACCCAGACAGATTGGATACTACGCAGTGGAGATTCTACCTTCCTCTGCGCCCTCTGGATCTAGGCTCCCTCTTGAAAGCTTGTAAACCAGTCACTTCTTGCCTTTGTAGCACCCCCATTTTGGGTACCCAATGTTCAAGTTGCCCATCTCTGTCCTGTGTATTGAGGGGGTGGGAATGATCCTTGCTGTAAAGATTTGTTCCTTCTTTTGAGCTACTATATCCATAGGTTTAGGTCATGTTCATCAAATTGTATCAGATTACTCTTTTTTTCCTCTTCTTTCTTCTAGTTGAGCTCTGATCATCCAGTCATTGAAGCCAGGTTAAATGGGTATTATCTGCAAATGTGGGTGTTCTTGTGCATATACCCTCTCTTCTTATTAGCTGGATGCATCATTCTCAACTCTAATCCTCTGTGGCTATGTCACTGACTCTGGGTCCAGGAGTCCCCAGGTTTTGCCAAACTGCTGGCCAACTAGACCTCCACCCATGTTCACAGGAGTCTATTTAACGTGGTTGGACTTAGCTCACAGCTTCATTGTTGTTTTTCCTTCACTTTCCCTTATCGGTGTCCAATGTAGTCATCAGTCAGAGCATGTGTCTGCTCGTGTATTCCCATTGATTCTTATTCTTGGAAGGGGTTTGCCCTGAGGGGACCGCTTGCCTTGATGTCTCCTGGGCGATGTGGCAAATCATTTGAAAATCAACCATATCTCAGCCTATGAAATAATCCACAGCAGACCTGGGTTTTGACATTTTTGGGAGGTGGATACTGAAACAACTCATGAAAGTGTATAAACAGAAGTGTTTCTGCAAACAAAATTTGGACCGATACTCAAGAAAGGTAAAATTTTCTTTAAAAAGAATCATAACTGGTTAAAGCCCTTACTGGTAAGAAAAAAAAAAAAATCACTACAAGCTGAGAGTAAAATGCAGAGTGTGCAATGGAAACATCCTTAATCCAAGGGAAACTTCAAAAGTCAACCATTAGACGACTGAGGGGCAGGCTTGCAGGGTATACCCTTTGGTTGATTGATGATGCATGGAGGGGATTGTAACCATGGCAATGAAACAATATATGATAGGATGAATGTAAAACTAATGTTCTCCCATGTAAACTATCCCATAAGTCCCAATAAAACATTAATAAAAAAAGTCAACCATCAGCTGGAAAATTGATGCTTACGGTTTTCTTGGATTCTCAAGGGCCCGTAATGGTACACTATCCGGAAAAAAGCTCAACAATCAATAGTGCTCGTTCTAGTGAGATGCTCACTAAAGAGCTGAAGCCGAAACTGAAGTAAATACAGAGGACTGCTATCCAAGGGTATTGTGATCTTGCAGGATAATATAACTCCATACATCTCTGCCCACACTGTTGTCACTCTTCAAAACCTTCCTTTCCAGGTGTTAAAGCATCCTTCTGATAGTCCTTATGTTGGTCTATCTGACTTTCACTTGTTTGTTCCCCTGAGAACAGCCCATAGAGGAAGAAGATTCACCTATAATGAAGAAGTGAATATAGCACTTCATTTTTGGCTTGTAGCTCAACCTAAAACATTTTAAAATAAAGGAATATGAAAGCTTGTTAACAGCTGGACAAAGTGTATTGAAGAGCAAGGAGATTATGTTGAAAAATGGTGTATTTGTCTTTTCTAAAAGTTGATGAAAATAAAATAGCTAAAGTTCAGATAATTTTTGACTCACCTTTGTGAACTCTTTATAATTGTTGATAAAGATGAGCAGAATGGCTGATGAAGGAAAGTTTGTATGTAAAGTCTTTATTATCATTTATTTAATCAGTCCCCATTTAGTTTCAGGAGTTCCTCATTGTAATTCTTGTCTTTCTGGCTTTTATATACACTTCACAATAGAGACTATGCTTTGTTGTCCTTTTCTTGGTGTAGAAAAATTTTTTCATAATTTAGAACATGGACACCTGAGCAAGGTGGGGGAGGGTACAGTCAGGGTGGTGAGTAGGGTGAGGACAGATGGGTTTACCTTGATGGCAGTCTGCTTGTTGTTGGGATAGTCGCCTGCCTCATCAGTTCCTCCACCTCCAGTGCCACCAGCACCACCTCCTGGCCCGCCCTTTTTTGTTTAAGTGCCATCTAGTAGGTTCT